GGTCTGGTATTAGTTCTGCCTTAAATGTTTGGTAGACTTGACCACTGAAGACACCTGGTCCTACATTTTTCCTTCTTGGATATTCACTGAGCATCATGAAATGTGAAATTCTGCAGCTTTTATCAAATGTGAAGTTTTTGGTCATTACTGTTTCAAATATTATCTTTCTCTCCTCTCTCCTATTGAGATTCCATTATGTGAAAGCTGGTAAAAAAAAAAAAAAAAAAAGAGTCTTTTGGGCTCTCTTCATATTCCTTCATGCTTTTTAATTCTGTTCCTCAGATCAGATACTTCAATTGATCTACCTTCATCTTCACTACTTTTAATTCTGTTCCTTAGATCAGATACTTCAACTTCACTACTTTTTATTCTGTCTGCTCAAACGTCACATGAAAATCCTCTGGTGAGTTTTCTCATTTCAGCTGTTGTTCTGTTGAGAGCTTATTAATAATTGCTACACCTTTATTGATCTCTGGTAGCGTAGTGGTTGTGAATCGGGCTGCGAACCTTAAGGTCAGCGGTTCGAAACTACCAGCCGCTCCGCGGGAGAAAGATGAGGCTTTCTACTCCCGTAAGGATTTACACCCTCGGAAACCCTGTACAGGGTCGCTATGGGTCGGAACCGACTCGAAGGCACGCAGCAGCAGCTACTCCTTTATTGATAGCCTCTATTTGCTCAGGCATCACTCTTCAGAGTACCTGTAGCTCTATACCCATGGTTCCCTTTAGCTCCTTAACAGCTGACTGAAAGGTTTTGACTACAAGGACCAAGTCTGTATTTCCTCAAGGACAGTTTCTATGAATTTCTTCTGTAAATGAGCTATGCTTTGCTTCTTTTATATGATTCACACGTTTCTGTTGAGACATGGACACTGTGCCTGTTTCAATGCAGTAACTGAAACTCAGACTCGTCAGCTCTCAGAGCTTGCTCTAGGTTGTAACTCTATTGTCTGTTCAATGACTTTGCTAAACCATTTTGTAAACTCTGTAATCTTTGCCATGTGTGGCCGCTCAAAGCTGTTTCTTTAGCAGGTACGACACTAGTGTTCTGGCAGATTTCTTTGAACCCAAGCACAGCAAAAGGGTAAGAAGAAATAACGAAAATGAGGAAGAAACAAAATACCAAAGTAATCTTATTCCCCAAACCCCCTTAGTCTGTGTAGCTCCACTGTGTGCTGGGGCACTCCTGCAAGCTCGGTGGACCATGGACCGCCTCACTCTAGTCTTCACCTCTTGTTAGCACTGAACCTAGAGCTCCGACAAGGGTAAAAGCTGGGCTCCTTTCTGAGGCTGCATCCTGCCCTGGGCATGGGCATGGCTTTCTAGACGGCCCAGGATCCAGAATGCTTTTGGCATGCCTTAATTTCCCACAGAAATTCTGTTCCACCTTTTCTACCAGGGTATTGGTGCTTTGTTTTAGCCTCAAGCCCATCTGTGTGCACAGTTCCTTTCCCTTTCAGGTTTGAAGAAAGTCTGCAGGTTTTTGGCTTTTCCGCCTTGAACGAAGAGTCCTGGTGTGGTGCTGTGGGGTAAAGCAATGGACCTCGAGGTCAGTTTGAGCCACAAGGTCAGCAGTTCAAACTCACCAACCATTCCTTTGAAACCCTATGCAGGGTCGCTATAAGTCGGATCCAACTCAATGGAACTTAACAACAACAACAACAACCCTGAATGTGGTCCAAGTGAGGGAAAACAGTGACTAGCCCTTTGTGAAGCTACTTCTGGGACCTCGCAGGCAATTTACAACAGGTGAACTCAATTGTCTAGACACAGAGGCAAGGACTAGGGTCACACGGTGGGACCTGAAGTTGCGATCTTCAAGAATGCTGCACAGTTAATGAGGTAGTTGTGGCAAGGGAAGAAAACAATGACAAAAAGCTTTCCTACCATTTTTTAAGTTGCCATGAATGTATGGTTGTGATAGTTTAGGCTTGATTTTGCTGTTTTTCCGTGGAAGGATGGACATTGGGAAATAAGACCTCCACTTATTTCTACATTAATACAATTATTGCACCAGAAACACAGACCTGCCCAGTCTTACTACCGCCATTAAAACAGTTAAAAACAAAGTAAGTTAGAGCTGCACTAAATTCTGAGAAAGAAAAAGTCAAAGCATATCAGATCTCATTTACCTGGCCATGATGGGAATTCTCCCATCGTGCCCCTATATAATCAAAGCTGTTTGAATATAGATTTTCCCTTCAATGGAGAAAGAACAGCCCTTTCAACAGATGGTCCTGGGACAACTAGACACCCACATGCAGAACAAAGAGAATGGAGCCTCATCTCACAGCACACATTGTGTGAGAAAGCTACACTAACAGCCACAACTCAGAGCAACTAGAAGAAAGCGTAGGACAGCTTTCGTAACTTTGGGATAAGCGATAGTTCCACAGACACAACACAGAAAGCATAAGCAATGAAAGAAAAAAATAGATCAACTGGACTTCATCCAAATTTCCAATTTTGGGACATCAAAAGAAACCATCAAGAAAGTGAAGTGAGAATCCAAAAACATAGGAAATATTTTCAAGTTAGCTATGACAAGATACTGTATCTAAAACATATGGAGAACTCTTGGTGTAATGTTAGGGACCATCGAGCCAACTTCTGAGACCCAGTGACCCCCAGTGACAGAAGAGAACTGCCCCTTGGTGTTCTCCAAGCTCGCCTTCCCAGCTCTCTCCTGCACCACAACCTTTCACTACCGGTCAAGCACTTAAGCACGGTGACGCTACAACTCTTATCAAGAAGTCCAACAACTCAACGCAATCATCAAAAGACAAATAGTCCAAGAAAAGTAGACAGAGGACCTGAGTAGAGATTTCTCCAAAGGAGACGCACAAATGGCCAATAAGCTCATGAACAAGATGCTCAATGTTACTAGTCATGAAGGAGGAGATACCACTTCATGCCGTACGTAGGATGGCTCGGGTTGGCAAGGATGTAAAGAAACGAGAACCCTCTGACATGAGGGGTGGAAATGCAAAATGATAGACACTTCGGTAAGCTGTTTATCTGTTTCTCAAAGTGCTGAGCATAGAGTTATTATATAACTCAGCAATTTCACCCCTAGACATTATACCCAAAAGAACAGAAAACTTGTGTTCACATAAAAACATGTACACAAATTTTCACAGCAGCACTATCTATAATAGCTGAAAAGCATAAGCAACCCAAATGTCCACAAACTGATAAATGAATAAACAAAATACAGCCTGAGTATGTTTGTTGTTGTCCAGTCCCGTCAAGTCAGCTCTGACTCAAAGCAAACTTGCATAGGGTTTCCAAGGAGTGGCTGGTGGGTTTGAACTGCCTACCTTGTGGTTAGCAGCCTAGTGCTGATCCTACAGGACTCCCAAACTCAATCATACAGGTGATATTTATTATTTTGCCTGATGCATGGTATGATATGGATGAATCCTGAAACAAGATGCTACAGCCAAGACCAAAGACCACACAATGCACAAGGACTTGAACGGGCCACTCCACGGAGACAGAAGGTGAAGTCATAGGGGCTGGGAGACCAGAAAACAGGCTAACTACAGAGGGTCTTGGGGGTTCCATGTGAGAGAGCAGACATTGTAAAATCAGGTGGCCATGATGACTGGACATGTCCAGAGGTATCACAATCACTGAAGTGATACTTTAATGGCAGGTTTTCTGGGATGACGGGGCTTCAAAATTTTTGTGAAAATTTTCATTATCTTTTCATTCCATTTTTCATAAATTTTTTTTAAGGTATCTTGTATACAATATATCCTATTACACTTTTTAAAAATATCATTTTTCATGGGATTCTTTGTACACATACACATATAAACACAAAGTACCCAATGCATTCTAACCTCTTGGTTTTTAAAGCGACTCTGAGGTTATTATGAGTATCTGTTACTAATTAGGAAAAACACTAGACTATGACCCACAAAGTCTGTGGCTCGAGCCCACCAGATGCTCCATGGGAGAGACCAGGCTTTCTGCTCCTACAAAAACATTGAAAACCTCGGAAACCCTATACTTGGGGTCACACTAGTTCAAACTGACTTCACGGCACTTAACAACAATTACTAAATTTGGAATCCTGGTGTAGGGTTGTAGGAAAAGCACTGGACTGCCAACCAAAAGGTCAGCAGTTCAAACCCACCAACCACTCCTCAGAACTCCTATAAAGGGTCACTGAGTCGGAACCAACTCAGCGGCACTCAACAATGACAACGTTACTAAATGCAGAGCCCTGGTGGTAATGTAGGATAAGCACTGGATGCTAATCACAAAGTCAGCAAGCACTTCAACTCCCCAGCCACTCTGCAGCAGAATGATGAGGCTGTCTCTCTCCAAACGATTTTATCTCGGAAACACTAGTTATGGCTGCTGTGAATCTGAATCAACTCGATGGTAGTGCATTTTGGGGGTTTTTATTACTAAACTTAGCTCTTCAGCCTCTTCCCTCACTGTGACAATGCCTGCTTATAATAGCTCCACCCAGCCCTTTCCTAAAACACTGCTTTTCTACCTTGGATTAGAAAGCCATATAAGCAAGCTCTTTCAGAACACAGTTAATGAAGGGCGAAAGGCTGTGTGTAGGTCCAGGAGCAGTGTGCCTGGGGCCTCCACAGCGCTGGCCGTCAACATCTGAGTGGAGTCAAAAGCAAGTCCAGAGATTTGGGAAAAACTGATATGATGCTGACAGAGAAAATGTGTACACACTGTTTTGGTTTCACATGTGTTTAAGTACCAATGACATACAAAGTGTGATAGAGCACAACATACTACAGAATTTTATGCATGTGCACACGTGTACTTGTGCACACGTGTACGTATACCTTCAAACATTAAGTATGAATAAAAGTCAGCCCTAAGATTGGACACATTATACGCTATAAGAGAATGAATTGGGCTTCACATGCTAAAGAGTCAAGACACATTTTCTTGACTTGTCAATTCTGAAATGTTGAGTATATTACGCAAATGCTAAATAGGATTACAAGTGTCTTGCTAACCTCTGACAGTAAGTTTGCTGTAGAGTTGGGAGTTCATTTCCTTATCTCGCCGGAAACGCCGGAATTCATCAACTGCTTCCCTCATGATAGTTACAGCCAAGACAAATCCCTAGAAAACAAAACAAAGTACTTGATAAAATGGAATTTAAAAGGAAACTATTTTACCATTTACATTTACGTTTTTCTTTGATTTATATTACTCTCAAAAACAAAGACAAAAGGTACCATTAAGCACCACAAAATTATACATAGTTAAAGACAGTACTCAGTACGTTCACAAACATCTCCTAAATTCAATCACAACATATACTTCAAGCTAAGCATCACCAATACAAAGAAATTCATAACCGTCAACAAGCCCGTGAGCTGTATTTAGAACACGCACGTTTCAAATCGTGGCTGACATACAATTTTGTCATTAATATCTACCCTTGGAGCTTCCTGATAGAAGCGATGCACTAAGACACGAAGAACAACTTGGAACATATAAGGGCGTGTAGGATGAATTTCTTAACTACTCCATTTTATGGAACTACATTTGTGAGAAGGGATACTTCTTACCGTGATACACTCACTCTTCAGTCATTACAGTGTGACTCAGACACTGTTCTCACCGTGATACACTCACTGTTCAGTCATTACAGTGTGACTCGGACACTGTTCTCACCGTGATACACTCACTCTTCAGTCATTACAGTGTGACCCGGACACTGTTCTCACCGTGATACACTCACTCTTCAAGTCATTACAGTGTGACTCAGACACTGTTCTCACCGTGATACACTCACTCTTCAGTCATTACAGTGTGACTCAGACACTGTTCTCACTGTGATACACTCACTCTTCAGTCATTACAGTGTGACTCAGACACTGTTCTCACCGTGATACACTCACTGTTCAGTCATTACGGTGTGACTCGGACACTGTTCTCACCGTGCTACACTCACTCTTCAGTCATTACAGTGTGACTCAGACACTGTTCTCACCGTGACACACTCATTGTTCAGTCATTACAGTGTGACTCGGACACTGTTCTCACCGTGCTACACTCACTCTTCAGTCATTACAGTGTGACTCGGACACTGTTCTCACAGTGCTACACTCACTCTTCAGTCATTACAGTGTGACTCAGACACTGTTCTCACTGTGATACACTCACTCTTCAGTCATTACAGTGTGACTCAGACACTGTTCTCACTGTGATACACTCATTGTTCAGTCATTACGGTGTGACTCGGATACAGTTCTCACCGTGATACACTCACTATTCAGTCATTACGGTGTGACTCAGACACTGTTCTCACCGTGATACACTCACTCTTCAGTCATTACAGTGTGACCCAGACACTGTTCTCACCGTGATACACTCACTCTTCAGTCATTACAGTGTGACTCAGACACTGTTCTCACCATGCTACACTCACTCTTCAGTCATTACAGTGTGACCCGGACACTGTTCTCACCGCGTGACTCTCCAGAATAGTTACCACCCAGAAACCACCTCACGCTTCCTTCTTTGTCAGTTCCTACTTCCTTGACCAAGCCTAAGCACTTTGCTTCCCAAATCTTGAGCCTGGACTGCTTTCCCACTGCCACCTCCAGGCCATTCTCCTGTTTCCTAGGCCATCGCCCAACATCTGCCTCGCTGTCTCCAGCCTTGGTCCCTCAAAACTGACCTTTCGCCAAGTCATTTATCAAGCCACACATAAATTTAACTAACAGGTCACTCCCCTCTGCTTTCCCTAGCTGTTAGGTGTCGTTGTGTCTATTCTGACTCATGGTGAGCCTACGTGCTCCAGAGCAGAACTGCTCTGTTGGGGATTTGTTTCGGTCAAGACAGACATGTGCATTGAGTATCCATTCTGTACCAGGCAACATTACAGATTCAGCAGTGAACAGAACAAATTCCCCACCCCCAGGAAGCTCCTCTGCTCTGAAGAATGAGAAGGTGCAGTCTTGAGTGCTATGACCACACAAGCAGCCCAGGAAACTTGGTTGTTGCTGCTGTTGACCTCCCCTTGTTGTATACTGTCTTTCCCTTCACCCATGTTAAACCGGTTTTCCTGGCTGCCATCTTAACCAGCCTTATCTCCAACAGCACTGCTGTCTGCATTCACACCACCAACCTCTAGGTTAGCAGGCGTGTAGACCATTTGTGCCACTAGGGGTCTTCCCATCTAGCTGGACTCCTTAGCCTGCCCCCTCCCCCAAGGCTTCACAATGACCAGGCTCTAGCCGCCTGCCCCACTCCATGCGGCTTTCTGGGCCACACATGGGAATCGTTGTGTCTATGAAAGCCCACGACTCATGTGGTCTGAAGCACTCTCTTTTTTTAATTAAATGTTTTTATTTTGCATTGAGTGAAAGTGTGAAAGTTTACATGGCACATCATCAGCTTCACATTCAACCATTCATATAGCTTGTTTCATTACATTGATTATTATCCCCTCCATATATCATCAGTTTACAGTGTTTTTCTCTATCCTCTTTAGCTTTTTTTGTTTTTTTTTTGGATGGGGGGGGCTGAAGCACTCTCTTGACGAGTAATCAAACACATGCTTGGACACTTGACCTGTGAAGCGTCCCATTTGCAAAGAAGACAATGGCTGGCAGTCAGTCCGGTGTCCCGGAAGCAGCACACGTGAGCTCTCGTCATAGCACTGCAGAGACGTTAGTTCACCTATCACAAGCTTCGCCCATTTCAAGTGGACAACAGTTGACCTTTCAGCATTTCCAAGCTGTGTAAACATCACCATCATCGAATTCAGAATGTGTTCATGCTCAGACTGGTGTTAAGTGCCATCAAGTCTGTTCCCACATACTGCCATCCTGCTTAGGGTTTGCAAGAAGTGGCTGGTGGATTTTAACGGTCAACCTTGTGGTTCAAACCCATCTTACGGCCCAGTGTTCACATTACAGCACCATTTCATAAAGCAGCCCGGTGCCACTTAGCAGTCACTCCCCACTAGAGCCCCTTCCACAGGCTCTGAGAATCACCAACGTACTATCTCTGTCGATTTGTCTGTCGTGCTGATTCTAAGGGACCTTTGGCCTTGGCTGTGTGGAAAACAGCTGGGGAGACGTCCCCCTCAGCCCTGAAGAGTTACCTTTGTCCTAGAGTTTCCAGCCCAGAGAGCTGGTTACTTCTCAAGGTTGCTGGACATTCCTGGGGAAGCTGTAAGTAACCCTGATAACTTTGCATCGGGTCCTAGGCTGCAGTTGGTCCGATGATTGGTATAGACTTTGCTGGGATTGCACAACAGACTGCGCAAACGCCTGCACCACCGCTCCAGAGATGGAGGCAGAGAAGAGGACGGGGAGAGATGGAGCAGCTGGGAACTCTAGACCCAAAGAGGGAGAAAGGCTGTGTGCTGACGACCGGGGGGCAGGCTTGCGAGGTATACCCTTTGGTTGGTTCATGATGCATGAAGGGGAATTGTAACCATGGCAATGAAAGGATATATGATAGGATGAATGTGAAGTTAATGTTCTCCCATGTAAACTATCACATAATCCACAATAAAACATTTAAAAGATATATATATATATATATATATATATATATCTACATATCTATATATCTCCACGACCCTGGTATGGTGTTGTGGGTTAATGCACTGGATTGCAAAGCCAGTTTGAACCACAAGGTTGGCAGTTCAAGCTCACCAGTAGCTCCTAGGAAACCCTATCCAGGGTTGCTATGGGTCAGAACCGACTCAACAGCGCTAACAACAACTAGAGAAATGATTGGTCTGTTTGTGGCCCAGGAAGGAAGGCCATGCCTTGAAACTGACAAGGAGTGATACATACAAGCACCCAATCCCATAGAAGTTCTCAGAGAGAAATAAGCAGGAAGACACACAAGCCAGAGAGAAGAGAGAAGAGGCGAGCTGTAACAAAGGTTGGGTGTTTCAACACTGCAGACACTGACGGGCCCAGGAAGGCCCTGTGGTAGAGAGCCAGGCCAAGAGCTGAGAGGGGTTCTGCACTGAAGGGAGACTTTGCCTATATGCTTCCTGATCCGGAGTTGTAGTCCATTGAATGCTTTCGTTGTTGCTTACATTGTTAAATATGGTATGTGAGTTCTATGTGGCTACTACAGCAGATTACTAAACCCAGAAGAGACACAGAAAGTGCTGTGGATGAACAGCTGCTGTCAGATTGGTAAAAAGTCTAGAAAGCAAAGATGTGTCTGATCTCATCTCACACAGGTCAACTCTGGGCTGATCGAGTTCACCATCCCCACTTAGGTTCCCCCACTATTACTACTCTACTGCTTCCCACGCATTCTGGGTCATATGATAACTCTCCATGTAATTATTAGGAGAGCTGTCAAGCAGTTCCAGTCCTACCAGCAGGGGTGAAGCTTCCAATTTCTCCACTTCCGCTGTGTTGCTGATAATAGCCATCCTAATGCATGTGCAGGGGTACCCTAGTGATTTTTGTTTTGCATTTTCCTAATAACTAATAAGGAGCTCTGGTAGCGTAGTGGTTACGAATCGGGCTGCGAACCTTAAGGTCAGCGGTTCGAAACTACCAGCCACTCCGCGGGAGAAAGATGAGGCTTTCTACTCCCGTAAAGATTTACACCCTTGGAAACCCTGTACAGGGTCGCTATGGGTCGGACCCGACTCGATGGCACTTAACAACAACAATAACTAATTAGGTGCTGTATATCTTTGCTAAAGCTTGCCAGTCATTTGCGTATCTTCTTTGGAGAAGTGTGTTCTCAGATTCTTTGCCCACTTTTTAAATGGGTTATCTCTCTCTTTAACTGTTGAGTTGTAAGAATTCCTTATACCTTCTTGATTCCGATCTCCTATCAGATATGATTTACAAATACTAATCTTACATATACTTGCTCCCATTCTGTTGGTTGTCCTTACACGTTCTTGAGTCTTTTGCCACATATATTTTTTTAATTTTTGTGAAGCTCAATTTACCTATCCTGTCATGTGGGCTTTTAGAATCCAAGATCATAATGTTTTATATCCGTACTTTCTTCTAGGAATTTTACAGATCTAGGCCTGCATGTGGTGCTGTGACGCGCTGCACTGCGAGGTCAGTCTGAACTGCAAGGTCAGCGGTTCAAGTTCACCAGGTGCTCCTCGGAAACCCTATACAGGGTCACTAGAAGTCGGAACCAACTCGACAGCACTTAACAAGTCCTAGTGTGGCGCTGTAAGTATGGACTGCTAACCACAAGGTGGGCACCTGCTCCTTGGAAACTCAATACAGGATCACTGTGATTCAGAACTAACCCAATAGCACTTAACAACAACAGCTCCGACATTTAGGTTTCGGGTCCATCTTGAGTTAATTGTTGCTGTGGGGTGAGGTTACAGGTCCAATTTCATTACATTTTATGTGGTGGTAAGTCAGCTGTCCCAGAATCACTTGTTGAGAATAACTTCCTCCCATTACACTCTCTCAGCAGTCTTGCTGCGTGAGCGTTAGGGTTTCTGTCAGAACTCTCAGTACCATTTTGTACACGTGAGCCCTTCTGTCAGCACCACACTGACTTGATTACTATAGCTTCGTAGTAATTTTTGAAACAAGGAACTGTGAAGCCTCAAGCTTTCTGTACTCTTCATAAAGTATTGGTTGTACTATGGATTCACTCAACTTCCAAATGAATTTAAGAATCAGTCTGTCAATGTTTGTAAAAAAATTTGTAAAAAATAATGTCAGCTGGGATTTTACTGAAACAATGTACTTATCAATTTGAAGAGTAATGTCATCTTAACAATATTAAAACTTCTAGTAGTGAAGAAAGCTAACTTTCTGTTTGTTTGGGGCCTCCTTAATTCCTTTCAGAAATGTCTGGTAGTTTTCAGTATGAAATCTTGTACTTCTTTTGCTAATTTATAGACATATATTTATTTCTTTATGAAATGATTATATATAGGGTTGCTTCCTTAATTTTATTTCCAGAAGGTCATTATTAGCTCGTGTACAGAAATAAATGATTATTGTATATTTATCTTGGATTCTGAAACCTTGCTAAATTCATTTACTCATTGTCATGTATTTTGTGTGGTTCCTTAGAATTTTCTATATACAATATCATGCCATCTGTGAAGGGAAATTGCTTTTCTTCTTCCTTTCCAACCTAGATGCCTTTCTTCTTTTCATTTGCCCAACTGCCTATGTCACTGCACCTCCAGTGTGAGCTTGTGCAGAAGGGCCAAGAGCAGACCTTCTTGTCTTGGTCTTGACCTTGGAGGGAAAACAACCATTCTTTTATCATTAAGAGTGACGTCAGTTGTAAAAAGCACCAATTTTTAGGAAACAAACAAGGTTTGTATATGATGAGCAAACACTTCCACATGAAAGGAAAATACACGGTCAGAACTTCAAAGCTGCTGGCTTGTTGGGACAAGACTCCTTATTAGTGGTGTTAGAAAAGAGCTCCACTACTGAGCATACAGTCATCATTGCACTCAAATTCGGGCTGTTGTTAGATGCCCCTGAGCTGGTTCAGACTCACCGTGAGCCCGTGCATAACAAAATGAACCACCACCTGGTCCTGCATCCTCCTCACTTTGGTTAAACTTGACCCCATGGCTGCTGCCACTGTGCAATTCCATCTCCTTTTTCACAGACCGTCCCACTTTACAAGCATTCTTCTCCTGTACCATTTATCCTTCTCCAGGGTCGGGTCCCTCGTGATAATGTGTCTGAAGTTTGAGAGACCAAGTCTTGCCATGCTGACTTCTAAGGAGCATTCTGGCTGTACTTCTTCAGAGTTGTTACTCTTCTGGAAGTCCATGGTACTTTTTAACGTTCTTATTCAACGCCCTAACCCAAATGCATCCCCCCTCTTCTACAGTATTCCTTATTCATTGTCAAACTTCCACATGTATGAGAGGCTACTGAAATACCATGGTTTAGGACAGGCTCCTCAGTCAGCTAAGGAAAAACAGAGACAAAACTATGGGGAGGTAAAGCAGTAGATAGAATACAAACATAAACCACCTGTAAGAGCTCAATGTACATATACTGTAACCAGTTCCACTGCTAGAAGTTATCTAGAAAACAACATCAAAGAAAACAAATCAAGTATGTATGTAATTATTTACATACAAAGATATTTATTCCAGCATGAATATCAAAAACCTAAATAGATACGATTTAGGCTTTGAATAGAACTTAAATGTTCAAAAATAAGCAAATTATGGCATAGCCACATAATGGAATACTGTATTTTCTTGATTGAAAAATACCACTGGTTTTAAGATACATCATTGTTACTTCAGTAAACGACTTGAGAGCTCTCCATCCACACCTATGACTTACCTGAGCAAATCAGACTGCTGGTGTACACCTGCTCCTATGAGACCCCATTCCACCACACCTAAGGCTTATCTAAGAAAAGGAGACAAGTTCAGGGCCAGCCACAAGCGGACAGTGTCACTACCATCACAACTACACCACCGGCCTGGGGAGATGATGCCACTGTTTCCCTCGGAACAAAGAGTGTACTACAATCAATGAACCTCACACTAGGAGAGCTAGGTCCTCGGAGCTCGTTGCAGAGTCCTTACAGATGAGACACTGTGACGGATTTGGACAAGTACTTGTGTGGTACAATCAATGAGCCTCTGCTATGAGAAGAAGATCTTCTGAGCTCTTCGTTAAGCCCCATCAGATGAGTGCGTATGCCAGATTTGGAGTCTACTCTGAAAGCTGGGTCTTCGGAGCATCCGCTGGGTCTTAGCAGACGAGTGGTTATGCCAGATTTGGACAAGTATGTATTGCTGGAGGGGCAGCTAGGCCGTGCCAACTTCATACCAATAGGGTCCGAGATTTTAGCTATAGTACCACCATCTACCGCAGTCCTGGAGTGGTGCTGTGGGTTAATGCGCTAGACTGCAAAGCCATTTGAACTGCAGAGTCGGCAGTTGAAGCTCAGCAGCTGCTCCTTGGAAACCCTATACAGGGTCGCTATGGGTCGGAACCGACTCCGAGCTCTGGTAGCATAGTGGTTACAATTAGGTTGCGAACCTCAAGGTCAGCAGTTCCAAACTGCCAGCTGTTTTGCAGGAGAAAGATGAGGCTTTCTGCTCCTGTAAAGATTTACAGCCTCGGAAACCCTGTACAGGGTCACTATGGGTCGGAACCGACTCCACAACACATAACAAATGCTTGTTTGCTAAAAAGATGGCCAAATACTTCAAAACACTGGGTCGGATAGAGCCTGGTGTAACTGCTGGGACTCTGGCCCTTGGTCACCCTTCAGGTCTGGAAATGAACTTGCTCCCTGTAGTTCAATTATCAGCCAAACACCAGGCAAGTCTCTAACGGGAGCAGTAACACTGGGGAGGTACGCACGCCTTAGAAAAACCAGCCACTGGGTATCTCTAACGGGAGTGGTAACACTGGGGAGGTACCCACGCCTTAGAAAAACCAGCCACTGGGTATCTATAATGGGAGCAGTAACACTGGGGAGGTACGCACATCTTAGAAAAACCAGCCACTGGGTATCTATCAAAGGGAGAGTATTTGCTCAAGGACCAAGTTCAGAAAGGTTAGGAAAGAAGAATGGAAACAAAAAACCCAGGAGGAAAGGATCTAGGAGATGTTACATTGTAGGTAATGCAATTAACAAGATGAAACAAAATGTGTACACTATTAAATGGAAAACGGCTCTGCTCTGTAAACTTTCACCCGATTCACGATACAAAAAATAAAATAAACTTGTATCTGAACACACAGCCCCCCAAAAAAACCATATACACTGGTACACACTAACAAAACACACACACACACACACACACACACACACACACACACATGCATTCAACCCAGGTTGCTAAATCAAATCCTTCACAAACAATCATCCAAAACTTACTTCCTGTGCTTAAAAACAACTCAAATCAAAGTAAGTGTGTATTTATCCTGTATTTATTTTAAACCACCTTGTTTTTCTTTATTCCTACATACACCCACATATTTACAGTTATTAAACAAATTTTCCAAATGTCATTATTTTAAAGTTTCAGTATTCCAACATGTGCATAGGTGATAGTCTAGTGCAAATAATTAATTATTAGACATTTCACTTATAATTTCCACCATCAAACATACTCATGATCATTCTTCAGAGACTTTGTGATCAGTCATTAATTCCTTAAAAAAATTCAAAATTGCTGGGTCCTCATCTTACTTAGGTCTCCGGTTTGTGTTTCCAAATGCCCTCACTGGGCTGGCTAATGGCTACAGCCACCCCCACAGCAGATGAGGGGGGCCACATCCTTCATGCCCACCAGTGATCATGCCCCACAACCCCTGTTCCATTTTGCTACCTCAGCAGGTGAGAGAGGGACTCACCCAGGAATTTTACATGCATGTTACGTATGAAGTCACCGTCCTGTCTCACACCCACCCTGCTACACAGACTACAGGGACAGGAGCCACAGAACATTCCTGAACTTGATTTTCATAATGGCTGCACAAGCCAGGCCGACTTGGTCAAGGGGACAAGAAGGTGGAGAGCAACACATCACCAGTCCTCGAAGCCTTCTATCCCCTCCCCAGTCCCCTACGTCTCTGAGAAGAGAGTCCTGACCAACCCAGTAGGTAAGGAGCCTGTACAGTGAGGCAGAGCTACACAGAGCTTCCCAGGCTCAAGGCTGTGCTGAAGGTCATGAGGTCAGTGGTGACCACAACAAATCACAAAGCTACTGAGACAGCCTGCTCTGAAATGAAAACACTCACACCCTAAGTCTCAGTGGCCTTTCAAACACCTCACACATTGAGCTGTTGGCCAGAAAATGTCTCTACTCCATTCAGCAACTTTAGACTTTCTGACCCAACCAGAAACAACTGCCCATTCGTCAGAGTGTCAGGAGACAGACTGCGCACAGCCCCCATCACAGCCGCTTCCTACCCCTCCATTAGAAACATGTGACCAATTCGTTCTCCAACCACCCTAGCTCCAAACTTCACCCTGTGAGTCAGTTAACCCTCTGACATCACTGTCAGTGTGTCTTTTACCAGAGGTGTCCAGTAGGTGTAGAGATACCCTATCTTCAGTGCTGGCACAAACTGTGAGCAGGACACTACCAGGAAATAGAGATTCAGGAAGAACTTGAATTGTTCATATAAAACCTGTGAAGGAAAAAGAAAATTAGCACAGCCTCTTCAAGGAGCTCTGTTAGCAACCTGACAAGCGACCCGGCCTCAGCGCAATGTGGAACCTGGGGTTCCTCGCCCTGAGTCCCGGGACATGGGATCACTCTGAGCTACACGTCATGCAGAGAGGACAGGTACCCCAACAGAAAACAAAATGACAACTTCCAACTACTTTTTAAAATGCACTCTAAAATTCAGATTTTAGTTTTCTTTTATGAAAATTTCCAGTTCTCTATACATCTCATATAAAGCTTACGTGCATGTCAAAGCAATCAAAACAGGCAAATCTTCCTTTCTGTTAGCCCGTCAGCCAATCTATACACAAACGATAGGAAACTGGTAAATCGTACTGGCCTTCTTTTCTGTAAGGCAACAACACCCACATTTCCAGAACGGAGTTTCTCTGGATAGCTCCATAAAGATACAACAGGCAAGTAACACCTGCCCAGGTGTGACTTCACAAAAAGGTGCCCTCAAAGCTCAAAAGAGTGACGAAATGCACAACTACAAAAATTACAGACCACCTCTCAGGAAACAAGGAGCCGTGGCAGTGCCGTGGGTTAAGCACTGGAATAACCACTGTTCAAGCCCAAGAGCCCCTCAATAGGAGAGAGATGAGGCTGTCTGCTCCTGGGAAGGGTCCGTCTTAGGGGTCCTACCGAGCGCTGCTACTCGTCCTACAAGGTCACCAGGAGTTGGGGTCGGTCGGCTCCATGGCAGTGGGTTTCCGGTTTCCGGAAGACAGCTACCTATTTATTCCGCATCATCTCTGGGAAGCTGACACTGACAATACAGTACTGTGCTTGAGAATATGACCGATGTCAGCGTTTAACAGAAGTTCAGGGCCACTTCTGCTGTAGTTCTGCACACATTTCGCAGAGCCTCCAACAATGCCATGTGGGGTCAGAGCATCTGCACACTCCCCACCTCTGTGGTCCAAAGAAACACCATGAGGAGGGTCCAGGGAAGAATTGGCCATTTTCAGTGGAAAACAGGTAGAGGTTATTAATTACGATAACTGAATATTTTGGGTAGGATACCAACTCTTAAAGAAGTAAGCATGTTTAAGTTCATCCATGAAACAGATAAAATGAGGGGGTTTTTTGATTTTTTGTTTTTTAAGAAGACCAACTTCTGACAAATGGACCCCACCCTGTTGCGGTCCTCTCACAGACTGGCTGTGTCTGTAAATAAACGTGTTACATGACAGCTACTGTAGTGCCTCCTATCCTGTGAAACTGGGAGTGTGCGAAGTGAACAGGTGCTGAATCTGTGTTTTAGTATATTTCAGTATTGGTTTCTTAATTGAAATATATATCCGATTTAGTTATTTCTTGGTATTACACTGTGGGATTTTACTGCACTTTTATTTACAGGTCAGGGCCTTGTTGATAATTTATGCTATAAAAGAGAAATACAAACTTGGCTTTGGGTATCTTACAAATATAAATTTTTTATACATTCCTTTTCATTTAAAGGGGAAATTTTTACATTGAAGTAAACTGCTCTTTTTCTCTATATGCAATAATTAATCATGAGGAAAACCAAAAGTGTCTGTATTTTCAAGTCTGGTTAATCAGGTGTATAAGAGCGTCTTTTATTTTTTTCTGTACCTATATCCTTAAGCTGGATTTTTTGCCTTGATAAATATCTTCCTGACTAGCATTGATTTCTTTAAACAAAATAAAACTAAAATTTAGAAACGGAGAATAATAATTTTAAAAGCTCAGAAATGTCAAGTTCTTGTTTTGTAATTCAAATAAAGTTATTTTAAAGGATGAAGAGTCAAATTCCTGTGCCCTAAGCAATCTCTATTAAAAATGCCTCAGAGGAGGCAGACTATGGAACACATACTCCTCCTGCTCCCTGTAAGGCCGATATACAGGATATACAGGAGACCAGGCCTGCTTTACCATAAATACAATTAAAATGCCTCAAATGGCTAAATTTCAGCTGAACACTGACTGATATGGTACAGAATTCAAGCTTGCCAACTGGAGGAATTAAATAGCATGCTCCAACTGCCATCACACTTGCTAGCCTGCAACTTGCAAACTTGCAAATCAAAGTCTTCTTCAATGTCATTTTTTTATGCAACATTGGGAAGCACAGAAATTTCCACAAGTGGGGGGCAATAGGTTAAGTGTTTATTGTTGATCAAAGAGTCTGGAGGCACAGTTTTTTACATAATGAAGTTATTTGCATCATCATACAGTTCTATGTGTGACTGAAAAATCGGTAACATTGATAACACGTTTTTAATCATAATCATGTTCAATTGCTGTCTAAAAATGTTTTGAATTATTTCATAAATTAATCTCAGCAGGAGAGAAAGCACTCTTTTTCCTCTCGGGTTTCTTTAAAATCTCAGCTAGCATAAATTATATCTATTAGCAATTCAGAAATTGCTGTTCATGCTAAAAATGGACTAGAATTCCTACTGTGCAATTACCAAATGTTTCTAAAATACTACATTTTAGATGAAAAGACTAATTTAAGAGACAATCTAAGGAAAAAATCATGCACGCGGTAATAGTTTTACAGACAATCCACAGGTATATCTGGAGAGGCCTGTGTGCATCTACTCGGATCAAAGCTCTGCTCTGCTCCTGTCTTGGCACCTCCCTGATCAATACCCCCACCTAAGGAACTCGGTGAGCTGCAGGAAGATGTGCGCTGCTCACCCAGTATGTGAGCACTCTATCACTTAAACCTGACAGCGAGTTTACGTTTCACGGTCCAGACAAAAGAGCAGTCTTTTAATTATGATGCCATTAGTTCTGTGTGTTTTAATAAAGAAGCATATTCAATACCAAGCATTTGCCAACTACTGGATGGATGGAGGGGAAAATCAATGCCCAGTATAAAATCAGCATGGTCTTTTGAATTAAAATATAAAAGATGAAGGAGGCCTCATTCTAAGTAATCAAGAGATTTTCCTACAAAACGGACTAAAAGCCAATCCACGGGACACGTTAAAACTGCTGACCAAAAAGTGCCTTCAGTGCCGGCTTCCTCTGCCATGAAAAAGAGAAAAAAATCTGTATGCACAGGTAAGGATGATAAAAAGCATTCAACTATTCTACACACCTACAGACTCTCTGAATTGTTTAAGCCAGAAATCCCATTATAGACAAAATGTAATCAAATATTTAAGGTTCTCTATTTAAATGCAGCAGAACACCTAATGAAAGAAAACTACTTGCATACAGCGCTGTGAGTCAGAACAGACTCGTCAACAACAAATGATGTAACAAAGTCCTGGTGTGTGCTGTAGGATACGCACTGGGGTGACTGCTAACCCCAAGGTCAACAGTTCAAACCCACCAGCTGCTCCTCAGAAACTCTACTCAGGGTCACTGTGGGTCACTTACTACTCCTATATTTTTGTTAAAAGCCTCACTTTCATGAGGAAGTTTCTAAACTAGCTGTACACATTATATTCCCACTTTTCCCTTGATCACATAAAATGTGGGCTTATTTTCTGGTATGTTTTGCTTAGTTTCACATCATCATTTCTACGGTAACATGAGGCTTTCTGTTCCCACAAATATTTACAGCCTCGGAAAGCCTATCAAAACAGGGTCGCTACGAGTCAGAACCAACTTGACGGCACGTAACAACAAAACATAATGCTTTATCAAGAACTGAAGGCAATGATCAAGCAGTACATTTTTCGAGCTGAAATCGAGGATGTCATCAGTAAAAATGCACAGGAGCCCTTGGACAATCACTTGAAACGCCCTGTTTCCAGAGCCCAATAAACAAGGAGAACCCGTTACAGAACCATGATTAAATGAGGGCCTCCACAGGCTTCTTCATGCCACCAGCGAGCTGACCATCATCAAGAACTGTTGGGCCTTACCCCGGGAATAAAGGTAAACACGTTGTATTTCTGGTTTTTTATAGCATTTCTGGGATGTTTCTCTTCACACTTCTCAGGACACCCAAGCCACACCGTGCGTGCTTTCAGCTGCTTCTTCCTCTGACAGACGTGGATCAGCCAATCACAGCAACTGTGTGCGACAAGAAGAGAGAAGACGTGGATCAGCCAATCACAGCAACTGTGTGCAACAAGAAGAGAGAAGACGTGGATCAGCCAATCACAGCAACTGTGTGCAACAAGAAGAGAGAAGACGTGGATCAGCCAATCACAGCAACTGTGTGCAACAAGAAGACAGAAGACGTGGATCAGCCAATCACAGCAACTGTGTGCAACAAGAAGACAGAGTGTTTTCCGGGTGCTGAAGCCAACTGGACATTCCTCCGGCAACAGTGCCGGTCATGTCCATCATGTCTAATGGTGACCTGTGGGATTCTCTACAACAGGCCTGGTACACACATTGAAACCTGACAGAACATACAGAGACCTGCATGTCACAACTGTGCAGTGGTTCCTAGGACCTCGGGGAACTGACCATCGCTGCTTAGATGCTCCACCGAGGGAGTGAGTCCTGCTTTGGCACTGTAAGATAAGCACCTGACAGCAAGGTCGGTTTGAAATGCAAGGTCAATGGTTCAAACTCACCAGTCACTCCTTGGAAACCCTATACAGGGTTACTATGAGTTGGAACCGACTCAACAGCACTTAACTCTCTGTATGGTGAGAAAAAACATGCTGGTGGTATGCTATGGAGTCGGTTTCCGAGGCTGTAAATCTTTATGGCAGCAGAAAGCCTCCTCTTTCTCCTGAAGAACAGCTGATGGTTTCAAACCTTGAGGTTAGAAGGCCGACTCACAATCACTACACCACCAGAATTCCTTGGGAAAACGCGTAGACATTGGTGGTTGGCAATACACCAACCACACAGTTCATCAGTGAAAAGGTCCTTGGGGGTGGCTGTGTGCCATCGAGTCCATCCTGACTCACAGTGCCCCTGTACAGGGTTTCCGAGGCTATAAACCTTTCCAGGAACGGAAAGCTTCATCTTTCTCCTGCAGAGTTCGGTTAGCAGCCCACCCCATAACCCACTACACTATCAGGTCCTTGGCTCTCAATTAATCCAGGATGGGATGCCCTTCCTTCTCTATGGTAATTACTCTTTCCACTCGCTAAAAAAAAGGGGACTTTCCAGTAGCATTAACTAACAATCACATTAACACCTAAAGCTCAAGTCAGTAGTTTAAAAGGGTACTAATGCTCCATGTGATAATACACCCACACCCACATGGCTTCTCAAACTCAACAGATGGACTCGTAAGAGGCTGGTCAAGGGACCTCACAGGGACTGCCTTTCAACTATACAAGAGAGAAAATACAATCAGAAAGGGATAAGTGCTTTGGATCTAAGAGCACAGGGCACAGTCCCCAAAGACACATGAGCTGAAGAGGCAAGAGGGAAGAAAGGAACTCACAATCATTTTAGGAGAGCAATGGGATGTGAGCCAACAACCCAGACAAAAAGGGAAAAGGAGAGACCCACAGTGACGTCCCTGGAAGAGACCAACTGTGAGCTTCACCTAGCAACATGTGTGCAGTATGAAAATGCGTCCCAAACTTACAGTGTGGAGGCAAACCAAAACTAAGTCCAACAGGAAACAAATTATACTTCCTAAAACACTTCAAAGGTTTTTAGCAGCTATTTATAAGCTCCTCAGAGGAGCTCTGGTAGTGTAGAGGTTATAAGTTAGGCTGCTAACCTTAGAGTCAGCAGTTTGAAACTACCAGCTATTCCATGGGAGAAAGATGAGGTTTTCTGCTCCCGTAAAGATTGACAGCCTCGGAAACCCTGTACAGGGTCGCTATGGGTTGGAACCGACTCCACGGCACATCACAACAACATAAGCTCCTCAATAATCAAAGCAGAATTCTTATAAATAAAGCTTTTTTATAGATCAAGATCATACAAGAAAGCAAAAGCTCATTAAGAAAACAAGGGAGAAACGACCAAAATCAATGTTAGAAGAGTCTTTGAAATGTGCTCTCTAGTGTAGAGACGCTAAAGCACATGGACAACATGAGGAGGTAAAAGAGCGGAAGAGAACATTTCAAAGGACAGATCCAGAAGTCAAGGTCAAGTATTATAATGAAATGCGCAAAGACCTGGAGTTAGAAAACCAAAAAGGAACACACTCAGCATTTCTCAAGCTGAAAGGACTTAGGAAAAATTTCAAGCTTTGACTCAAAATACTGAAGGATTCTCTAGGCAAAATACTGAATGACACAGAAAGCATTAAAAAAAAGATGGAAGGATTACACAGTCACCGTAACAAAAAAAAGGTTGATGGTCAAGAGCCGCTGGCACCGAGGGAAGGAGTCCAAGAAGCAAAGAACAAGGCTCCGGAATTGACAAATAGAAACCTTTCAGCACTGGAGCACTGCAGCACTGGAGGCACTCACTCACCTATGCCAAGACATTGGGAAGAGATCCATATCTGTGCCCATTTGAAAGAGAGGTGACCCAACGGAATGCAGAAATCAGAAAATAGGATGAGTATCACATGCAAGCAAAATCTTACAAGATAATTAAAAAACACTGCAGGTTGTAGTCAAATGAGGACTGTCCCTGGTGGTGCTGTGGGTTAGATATTTAGCTGCTAATCCCCAAGGTTGGTGGTTCAAACCCACCAATAACTCCACAGGAAAAGATGAGGCCGTGAGCTCCTGGGAAGATTTCCCGTCTTAGAAACGCCATCTGGGGCCCGCCTATGAGAAGGAAGACTTGAGAACAGTGGGTTTCATTTGGGTTCTGGCTGGAAGGGGGCCCTGTTAGTGCAATGACCAAGTGCTCAACTACTAACTGAAAGTTTGGCAGTTCAAACCCACCCAGCAGTTCCCCAGGAGAAAGATCTGGCGATCTGCTGGCGTAAAGATGACAGCCTGAAAATCCCATAAGGCACTTCTCTTTCCTTGTATGACTCAACAGGACCGAGCAGTACTGGGTTGGCGTGAGTGATCACCCGTTCCAGGCCACAGGACACAGCACTGCTGAACATTGTCCTCGTAACTGTGTCAACAAGCAAACCACGGCCAGTATTCTCCTGGTACCAGTGCCTCTGAGCCCACTACTCCCACTCCCATCAGTGGTAGCGCCCTTAGAGTCCCACAACCAGCACCCAGGACCCAGACAATCCCCTAAGAGCCTGACCAGCACTCAAGATACCAATACCCTTGATCCTCCTCTTCTCAACCCAGTCAGCCGCACGTCACGTCCACCTGCCCATGATGACAGAGCTGCCCCATTTCCAAGGCAGTAAATTGAGTCTGTTTTACTGAGCACAGCCTCCCTGTCGGATGACTTTCCCAAGGCCACAATGAAGACAGAAAGGGCTTAGCTTCATCAGGTTGGACTGGATTTAACGTCTGACGTGGTCCTAAACTGTCAGGAGAGATCTTCTAGTATTTCCTTTCAGTTCCGTTTCCTTGAACATCCCACGACGGGGACAGCACTGTTGCTTTACCCTTCCCAGAGCTGCCTCCGGCCGCAATCACTGAGCGCCAACAACCTCTGTCTACAAGCGACCTCATGAACTCGCAGATCTACCCCCAGGCCTACTCCATTCCCCACGAGCCAAGTCGGCCCCTCTCACACTCTGTAGCCGTAACCCTGCGCATACTCCCAATGGGTGACTTGTAGACAAGCTCAGCCTCTTCCACAGTGTCCTCACCTGCTGCCTCCCCATGCTTTCATTTCCTGAGAAAAGACTTCAGTCTCTCTCCCGCCTGTTCCTTTCCACCACCTTCCTCTCTCCATGGCGTTCCTACATTCTATTCTCACAGACTACCACCACAATGAACAGGACCCCAGCCCAGGTCTCCACTTTGTGCTCCTGAATCTAGCAGGACTGTCTGCATGAGACAACCCTCCTTCTGCCAACAGTTAGAACAAAACACACCTAGGAAGAGAAGAACTTCTTCAGCTAGACGAAGAACATGTAAAGTATTCCAACAGCTAGCATCTTACTGGATGATGAGACTGACTACTCGTCTACATCCTCTAAATTCCCGTCAGCCCCATAAGACGAGGGAAGGAAAGGGACACAGATCAGAAAGCAGGAAATAAAGCCGTCCCCATTTACAGAGGACTAAATGATGTAGAAAGTTCCAAGGAATCTACAAAAGACACTTTTAGAATTAACAAAGTCAATAGATACAAGAGCAAACACAAAAATCCATTGTATTTCTACACAGGAGCAATGGTCATGTGGGCACAGACTTTAAATGTCATTACTATACACAGTCAAGTAAAACAATACATAGTAAAAACCTAACATGGGCAGGACATGCATACTGTAAACTACAAAACACATAATGAAAGAAATCAAAGTGGATCCAAATAAAGAGAAGACAGCCATGTCTGTGGTCTAGAAGACTTAACACAATAAAGATGCCAGCTCTTCCCTTAATGTACAGGTTTAAAGCTATCCAGCAAGGGATATGGGCAAGATGATTCCCAGAATAGCTAAAACAAGTCTGAGGCAGAACACTACTCCATGTTACCCAAACTACCTCCCCGGCCGCCATCTCAACTCAGACCCACAGGGACCCTCAAGGACGGAGGGGGCTGCTGCACAGAGCTTCCCAGGCTGGAAATCTTCCTCCCACACAGCGGCTAGAGGGTCTGACCTAGAAACGCTGAACCCTCTGCACCACCAGGACTCCTACCCCATGTTAAGATATAGTCTACATACCTGCAGTCGCAGATTTAACCCAAGCCTGAATAGTCTGCAGCTGACTACTCCAGACCCACACACTCCCAGACCTTCAGAGTCTCAGACCCGCACAGTCCCAGACCTGCACAGCTCCGGATTTAAATAGTCTCAGACCTGCACAGTCCCAGACTCATCCTTCTCCTATGGAGGGGCTGGTGGGTTAGAACCACCCACCTTGAAGTTAGCAGCCCCACACATAACCATACCACCAGAGATCCTTATTGTTGCTGTTAAGTTGTGTCAAGCCGATTCCAACTGAACTTACAGTAGTCCACTGTTTACCCTAGAGCACCACACTAGGGCTCCAAGAGCTCCTTATATACTATATTGTTGCTGTTAAGTTGTGTCAAGCCGACTCCAACTGAACTTACAGTAGTCCACTGTTTACCCTAGAGCACCACACTAGGGCTCCAAGAGCTCCTTATATACTATGTTGTTGCTGTTGACTCGGTTCCAACTCATAGCAACCTGTATAGGGTTTCAGAGAAGCAGCCAGTGGGTTTGAACCACCGACTATGCAGGTAGCAGTCTAGTATTTATCCTACAGTACCACACCAGGACTCCATACCCTACGATGTTGTTGTTAAGTGTCTCATAGCAATCCTGTATAGGGTTTCCAAGGAGCGGCTGGTGGGTTCGAACTGCTGACCACGTGGTTCACACTCCAGTGCTGATCCTACAGCACCACACCAGGAGTCCACAAACTATGTTGTTGTTGTTATTAAGCGACACTGAGCCGGTTTGAACTCACAAGGAGCAGCTGGTGAGTTTGAACCACCCACCTTGCAGTTCAAATAGACCTTGAGGTCAAGTGCTTATCCTATGGCACCGTACCAGGCCTCCCATATACTTTTGTTGTTGTTAAAGAGTTGTCGAGTCAGTTCTGACCTACAGCAACCCTGTATCGGGTTTCCTAGGAGCTAGTGGCGAGCTTGAACCGCCAACCTTGCAGTTCACACCGACTTTGCAGTCCAGTGCATTAACCCATAGTGCCCACCAGGACTCCTCCCATAAACTACTATGTAGTTGTTGTTGTTCTGTGCCGTGGAGTCAGTTCCGACCCATAGTGACCCTGTACAGGGTTTCCGAGGCGGTAACTCTCTATGGGAGCAGAAAGCCTCATCTTTCTCCCACGGAACAGCTGGTAGTTTAGACCTGTTGACCATGAGATCAGCAGCCTGATTCGTAACCACTACGCTACCAGAGCTCCTTATAAACTACTATAGTATTAATAAATTACATTTCTAGAGGTCCATGGTCTAGCTTTTGGATTCGATTGTAACTATATATGTAATAGAAACACAATTTATAAATGTTGACACAGTGACCAGAATTAATTCTACCTATTATGCATTCATCATACAATCACTAGTTTCCTCCATCATTTAACCATTAAAACTTCTCACTGAATAATGAAGTTTGTTTTCCCTTTCTTTCAGATGACATGGCTTCGTTTTGTCTGTTATTAATACTCTCCATGATGCTATTTACAGGATCTTCTGTCTTTGATTGAAAGTAAGTAGGTTAGAAGGATTATACATCTAAGCAGTTAAACCAGGCAAACCTCAGTGCACACAGAAGTCAGCTAGCAATGCCCAAGTGTTTTCTCCAGTTTGACTGAAAATAACTCTGTAAAAAGAACTAAGCATATAGGCAGTTAAGCCCACCGCCTCAGCCCCCCAGGCATTACGCTGGACAACAAACCTGGTGCAAAGGAATTTCCATCCACCACAAACCAACCACTCTATTCCTCGTTTTCTTCGGGTTATCCTGGCTCGTGGTAAAGTGTGGTAATCACTCTCATCATTTTCAAATCCTTCTTCAGACATCATCAGAGGCATTTCATCCAAATGGGCAGACTCATCTTCCAGCTGGTACCTGGTTACGGATAAGACCAGTTAGTGAAGCCACCAAGGACAGCGCCGCGGCTCACGCAACATTGTTTGATTCAAGCCCACTTCACACTTCCTTTCCCTCAAACCAAGTCCTACCTAAAGACGCTGCAGCCAAGGCAGTCACCGGGAGTGCTGGTGCTTACTCTGCCAACAAAACAAATGGGCCAACCTAAGGAGCTCTGGTAGCGTAGTGGTTACGAATCGGGCTGCAAGCCTCAAGGTCAGCAGTTCGAAACTACCAGCCGCTCCGCAGGAGAAAGATGAGGCGGTCTGCTCCCGTAAAGATTTACAGCCTCGGAAACCCTGTGTAGGGTCGCTATGAGTCGGAACCGACTCCATGGCACATAACAACAACAACAAGGAGCACTGGGGCACTGTAAGGTAAGCACCAAGTTGCTGACGCAGCAGCAGCTCGGGGGAAGATGAGGCTGCGTGCTCTGTTAAAGCTGGCAGTGAGGTACAGGTACAAGTGGGCCTGCCCACCCACCCACTCACCCACCCACTCACTCACTCACTCACTCACTCATACCCTAACAGAGGCCTCAGTGGGCCTGGGCCGTCGGCAGTGCTGCAACAGCTGCCTAATTACCTCCCATAGTCCTTCATTCTGTCCCCTCACCCAGAGGTCAAAAGTCTGAACCAACTCCAGCATCTAAATCCATGCTCCGTGCACGCACGGAACTGATGGGAAGTGAGGCCCAGACTTAGCATGCATCAGTTGAGGTTTGGGGACCTACTTCTGGCAATATGAGAACTGTCTCCTGGCTTGTTGTTATAATGACAATATGCCCCTTTGTTCCCTCTGGTTTGCCTTTGAGCCAGCACATCAAGCTTTTGCTCAGTCACAGACAGAGTCTTATTTTAGAAATAAGAACATACCTTTCTGAGAAGCCCTGGTGATACAATGGTTAGGCACGCAGATGCTAACCTGAAGGTCAGCAGTTCAAACACATGAGTTGCTCTTTGGAAAAAAAGACCCAGAGATCTGCTCCGGTAAAACTGACCGCCTAGGAAACCCACGGGGCAGTCCTACTCTGTCACGTGGGGTCACTCAACTGGAAACAACAACAATACAATACAACACAACACAACACAATACACGTCTCTGAGAACCAACTGCTCAGCAGCCCGACGATGACTCAACAGTAACTAGCTTATTTCACTTTAAATCAAACCTCTGTGGTAAGGATCATCTTGACCCCAAAGAAAGAAAGCAGATGTCTGGGTTCTTGTGGGTAGTCACTTGGGTTGAAATCAGTCCTCACATCATCCAAAACCACACAGAGAGCAAATAAAACCAACCAAAAGTTCCAACTCTAACATGACTGGACCCCTGCCATTGAGTCCATGGTGGCTCACACCATGTGTGTCTGAGAAGGTGATGCACAGAAAAAAGGTGCCTACCACCTGGAAAGGGAGAAGATCCCTGGGAGACAAGGTGGGGAATGAAACAAGAAAGTAATTGGTGGAAACAGAGATCTTGAGAGACACTAAGAAACAGAGGAATCAGACACCGGGGTTGGTAACACAGGCAGTTAGGATCGTTCTGCGAAGCTCACAGTACACATTCAGATCCAGGGGAAGATGTCTTTCTTTTTGGAGAATACCTACACTAACTCTGCAATGGATCTAAGGGAAAAGAAAAAAAAATGCCTTCATTGCCCGAAATAACCAGAAAACCATGAGCAGCACCCAGAAGCCAAAAGCCGTAACAGAGAAATTCACTTGGAAAGGTGGACATGCAAACAATGAATGTTTGGTGTGCTGTGTCCAAGGAAACATGACTTCCGATGTGCATCCAATGGATTGTTCATTCCTCTGACTGCTTTCACTCCCAGACCTTCAGCCACGAAGGTGACCTGCAGTTTCAGGAGAAAGGACTCCAGATGCCCCACGAAGAGCGGGCAGCTCCCAGCCCAGCCTGCCACAGCCAGAGGAGGCTCTCACTGCAAGGGGCAGGGACCAAGAGGGACCCAAAGAGTCAAAAGCTCGGGAGAAGAAGTGCGGTCCGCACCCTAGCCTGTACCCCCTCCCCACACTCCTGACCAACAGACACAGAATGCCCCCAGCCCCGGGTCAACACAGACTCACAGACAGGCCTGGAAATCCAGATGGAAGGGGTGGTGCTCCAGCCCACGACCCCAGAAACAGATCCCCACCCACAGGTTGTACTGCCAGGAAGCTGGTTTTGCTAACATGTACAGACATAGGACTCAGATAGCATTAGGGTCTCTACACCACACACACACACACACACACACACACACACACACGGCAGGAGACAGGGAGGCTCCCGGATACCCTGCACAACCACCTGAGACTAGAGCCAGGGGCAGCAGAGACAACAGTCCTCACAAAAGGAGGTCAGTAAAAGGAGTGCAGACGTGTCCATGCAGGGCACTGAGTCATTTCACGTCTCTTCTAGCCATAGTCTTGGTAAACTCCCACCAAACAACTTTATCCTGATGGCTTGGGTACGAGAAGGAGGGTAAGGATGCTGATTATATGACTCAGTTGTGAGTTGATTGTTAATTGGGTTAATTACAAAAACTTGGAATACTAACATGGGTATAAAAAGAGCTATCTCAGAAGCAGAAGAGGAGGGATCTTACTACCATCAAAGAACCAAATAGGGAGTGTCCTTTGGACCCCCAGATTCCCTGCACAATGAGCCTCGTTGGCCCTCCCTCGGAGCAAGTGAAGCAAAGTAACTTGGAGCAGGAGGCTTGCTTGTAGAGTGGGCTGCCTCCAGAAACCATTTGCTGACCATGGAGCCAAGTGCCTTGAGGCTGAGGACTAGAGTAGAGAGCTATGTCCTGTGAGCAGCCCTAAAGGAGCCGTGTAACTGGTCAGGCAATTAGAGCTCTGTCTGAGAGCACAGCTAGGAAGAACTGTCCTGGCTGGAGGAACTGTGCCGTGAACACTACTGACCCTGAACTGTAACAATTGCCTAAAAAAAGTCCCGAACTGTGAATATGGTATCTGAGTTCTGTGTGGCCATGACAATGAAATATCAAACGTAGCTGAGTAGAGAAGACTGTGGGAGGCTGACCGCGGGGTTCGCAGCCAGAATTTTAACCACTACACAACCAGGCCTTCCACCTTGAAGATGGCGGATCGGGTAGACGTGTAGTGAGGAGCTCAGTCAACAACAACATGGAATACCGGGCTAAGAGGACTCATGAGATGGTGTTGGAACTCTATAACAAATATAAAGGTATGTTTGGAGGATCGGAGGGTTTATAGCTGGGGAATTTGCAGGAGAATCCAGAAATCCATTATTTTCTGGATCAAGACACTCAGCTGTTCCAGGAGC